GCACGTCCATCTGGATACTCCACGTGCTGCACGCTCGCCCCCAAAGTAACCTTTCTCTTATGTGAAAAACACCCCGTCGCTCAAATGGCTGCAAACAGAATTAGTTGTTTTTAATAGAAGCCCCAAACAAAATAGGTTGGGTAGCCCTCCTAAGGGCTTGTTCTCCATATGATGGGAATTGGCTCACCCTCAACCCCCCTCCCCCACCCCATCCCTTGACCTTACTCAATTACTTCAGTGATTGAGATGCTTTTTAAAGGGGTGATAGAATACCAAAGGCTCAGCAGCGTCCCAAAATATTGTGGGCCTTAGCCTAGCCACCTTTGGGACCAAAGCCCATTGGTCTCAGGCTGCTACTCTACCCTTGTTACTGTGCTAGGAAGAATACACTGAAATATGCATGCAAAGAGATGTGCTCCAGAAGTGTCATTTGGACCATTAGGGTAGGTAAATACTCAACTATCATATTAGACATTTTTAGACTTGGAACAAGATTAATATTATGTACACAAAGACCACATTGCCCTTCACTTATTTTTACGTCATGTCTTTTTTCCTCTCGAGATAATATCCTTCTAAAGTAATTGGATGCAATATTCCATTAGAAAAGATAAGAAGTGCATAATTAGTTATTTTATTGATGCCCCGATGGAGATTTTTGGCGTGATAGTCAACTGCATATGGTTAGGGTCCTCCTTCACAAGATAAGCTATCTCGAGCACGATAAGGAGGTATCGTCGAAGGATCACCTATTTCACTATTTCCAGACATTTCAGAATATAGAAGCCATCACTTCAGTGTGTGCCAATGGTCTTGCCAGGTCTAGCTAGTATGTAGGAGTCTTGCCGTGATGTTACATATGCAACGGGCAGCCCAAGCCCACGTGTTTGAACGCAAAAAACTTTGTGTTCTAATTAAGATAGACACGTTTTCAAGGAAAAAACACACATGCGCGCGCACGCACATCCTGTCTACTTGTACCTCACTAACTATGTATGTGTGAACTATATGGGCATGCTTGTTTTTCACGGGATTCAGAAAACGCAGTAACCGGGAAAAAATGCAAGAACGAGGTGTAAAACAGATGATTGAAAACACAAGTCTGAAAACTCGTGTGCTTGGTTCACCGGAATGACACTAAGCACAACCAAACCACATGAAAACTTTCTCTTCCTTCCCTAGCCCATATCCAAATAAAATCAAGTCAAATCAAATTTTATCAAAACCTCAACTAAATCAAAACTTTACTTTTCTTCCCCTAGCCATACTCAAATCAAATAAAATCATTCCAAAATCTAGAATATGGTGGACGTAAGGTTTATGCTGGACACGATTAGTGTTGAACCACTAGAATATGTATGTCCCGCTGCAATGACAGTTAGCTAGTAGATCCAAATGGCTTGTCGAACTTCCGTGTTTTTCCTCTGAAACTGAGGACCAAGAAAACTCTCTCCACGTTGGTTTCGCTTTAAACCGAACCGATGAATAGCGCCACCGAAGAAGAAGGAGAAGGAAAAATAAAATCAATTCCTACACTTTCCCTCTAGCTGCTGCTTTAACCGAAGCAAGTTCCTATGAAAAAGCATGTTTTGTATATGCTCGAAGCGTCATCTCCGTGGGCACTTAACAGAGCAGCGTGCACAGTCACATTATATTCCATGGGAACTGACGCCATCCGTCCATCCATCCACCGATCTCACCAATGTACGTACGCCCCGGACAGACAGACATCTCAGTACGTCCTACACAATCTATGAGATACCTTAAAGAATGTACGTTACATCATCTCGGCTAGCCGCTGCATGCATGGGTTCAATCACCTTCTCTGTCTACAAATCATTCACAATCCCTCTCTCTCTCTCTGTCTCGTCCCTGTAGTGGTAGTAGTAGAGGCAGCTGGGGAGTGTGGGTGTGAGTGCATGTGCATGGTGTGCTTTATTCTCCCAAAGGGGGATACAGAAGCGGTCTGCTGCTGCGCTG